AAATCGAAAGCGGACAAAAACCATTGTGATATTCGGAATCAGCACGTTCGATTAACTATTGTCAACTGAGTTTAAGCTCAAAAGCGATGAGGCAGTTGGTGGCCTTCCCTCGTCAGTTGAGATACAAACTGGTTTTCCAAAGATTCCCTAGAAAGCCGATCTCGAAAATTTTCATCAAAAGCTTTTTGCTTACGAAAAGGTGACATAAAGTCTTGATGGTGTAAATCACATCTCTTTATGATTCTGCGTTCTCCAGTTATTCAAAAAATAACCACAGACATTCTTTTTTTGGCGACGATATAATTGTTCGATTTATTATTATTTAAAATAATCCCACTTTGAGTAATACATAGACTTGTTTTGAGTGAATTTTTCGAGAAATAAAAAAATATTCAATAAAAAAAATAAGTCAAAAATGTACGGAAGAAAGAAAAAACAATACATAGAAAAACAACTGTTACAATTGTCTTCTCAATTTTTTTTGTTATTAGATCGAACAAACAAACACACGCATTAGAAATCGCCCATTTAAATAATAAAAAGTAAAAGAAAAATTTCGGAAAGACATTCGATTCAAAAAATAACAAAAAAAACACAACGAAAAGAAAGTTGATACAAAAGAGAAAAAGTGGAGTATTCAACAAAAAAGATTTTTTCCCAAAGTTAACTTAGAAACACAAATTATATCTTAAATAGAGATGTTTTCTTGTTCCTCTTGAATTTAAGACATTTTTAAAGACAAAAACTTCAAACTAGTACTATTAAAAATGGTGTAAGAAAAAAATTATAAGTATGTTGTGACTGTTAGATCATTTCGTGGCATATTTCTAATAGGAGGATTCACTTTTGATGATAACTACAATGGCAACAATAACACATGAACGATAACGAACTTATCATAATTCGCGAATTAACTTACGTGCTGTGGATTAGTATTATTATTATTTGCGAAATGATAGACGTTTTCCGAATAAGAAATAAGATTATGATTTCTTAGTAATTGTTGTTGAGGAGAAGAAAGATACGAGTGGGTTGGATTATGCAGTTGTGATGGATACTGTTTATTCACATTCGTATTGTTTAAATATTGCTGAGAATAATCAGAATTGCCTAACATTGTTGATCCTTAATAATAGAAAAAAGAATTAAGCGACAAAAATATTTCAGTGGTATTAATAGTTCATACCTGCTCCATTTGTAATATGTGGCTCATGGGTTGATGAAGAATAGGGTGCTGCTTGACTTGATGGCTGATAAAACTGCTGTGCATGAGGATATGAATGTTGAGAAACATGTCCGTTTTGTTTTGGTTGATGTTCATTTAACTGCTTTATCCACTGAATTAATGGATCGTCTATAGCTTTTCGTTGTTGAATCTTTTGACGATTGTCCTGTGACTGCGGTGATATATGACTGTTCTGCCCATTCGTTGTTGTTTTTGGTACAAATGCTGGATGATTTGTATAATTTGGAGCTGTTTTTGTTGACTGTAGCGAACCTCGTGAACCAGAAAGGATTACGGCAGTTGTTGGTGGCGTCGTACTACTATTAGGATTGTAATCGGTAGTGCTCAAATTTAACAATGACTGATGCCAATTAGGTTGTCGAGTAAGAAGTCCGTTGGTATTCGCATTTTGCGTTGGATTTGTAATGCCCACATGAACACCCGGTTTATGCATAGACTCTGTTCGTTTTACAGCCTGTAAACTTGTTCGGTTTGATAATTGTTCAATTTTTCCGTTTGCTAGTAATGGATGTTGTATTACATTGTGTGCTGAAACTGTTGGACGTAAATGAGATTGTTGTTCATTTGACGATCGATGATTATTCAATCCATTGTGAGTGACTTGTGGAGGTTTTACTACTCGAATGATGGATGCTTCGTGCTGATTTGGATATACTTGCTGTTGATGATAGGAATCTGGAGATGATTGATGAGGTTTAAAAGCACTGTTCGTGTTTTCATGTTGATGGCTAAATAGAGTGGATTTTATTCGAAGAGGAACAATATTTTTATTTGTAGTATAATTAACGTGAGATCCATTTTGTGCACTTGTGGATTGACTTATCAAATTAGAATTGGATATGTCTGTAATGTAGAAAGAGTACATATAATCTGTTAGTGTCTCAATAGAGTTTTTTTTGACTGATCAAACCGAATTCCTCTAGAGATGCAATCTTATAAAAGATTTACACAATTTTTTTCTACAATGTTTATAAGAATTTAATGAGATTTCAATACGACAATGCACACTAGTCTATAAGAATTTTATGTAAGAGCACCACAAAATTTCATCTATAGAGGCATAATGGAAAAGAAAAAGTAGTTAGAATACAATGATCATTCCATAAGCAAAATTTCATTGATACTGCTTTCTGTATTTGTTTTGGCGAAATTCTCTGTAAACTAGCTTCACCACATGACTGAGTGATTTGGGAATCGATAAACGCAAAGTCAACTTCTTCCTCTTGGCTTGGCCGATGATGAGATGATTTTGTACTGTGAATTTTTTTCATGGTAAGTGGTATTGTGAAATGCTTATGAATTGACTTCTATAAGAATTAGATGTTAATCTCAATAAGAGGAGATTTGACCCTAGACAACTGAAGCTATCAAAATCAGACAGAAGAAGAGCATGAACTTGTTATACAAAAATGTAAGGATTGAACATTTCTTATTTTAGAATTATTACGCATTCAAATCGGATATACCAACTAAAAATCTCTGCCGTTCCTCCAACACACGGTTTCAATATTGTACTTTAGGCTTATATTGGCTACATACTTTGATGTGGCGGCGTTACGCATGGAGACATTATTTCAGAAATAAATGTTCGGGCAGTTGGTGCTGATGAATATGTAGTAGTGCTGTTGAGACCGTATGTCGCGGATGATGGCAAATTGTTCGTATTATGATGTATTATATTATCGTAGGTTGTGGTTGGACGATTTATTTGTCGCATATTATTATTACTGTTCAAATCTTTAACTTGAGTAACGGGCGTTGTTGTAACTAACTGTATTCTTTTGTCATGTCTTGAATGATCGTTATTTGTCGTTGTCATCGTGTGTTGTAATTCGTTTGTTGATGGTTCTAGTTCTTCTTGTAGAATTGAATTTTCTCCAGCAGGTGGTACAAAACGAAATCGTGGACGTTGTTCAAACGGCTGTATAAACGATGAATTCGATTTATCAATCGAACTCAAATCGATTAGACTCGCACTATTTCCTTGTGATAATAAATTATTTCGATTACGACGTACACTACCATCGACTAACGATATACTATTATTTTCCTCATAACTACTTGTTTTATCTAATAATGCCATTAAACGTGCTTGTGGTGACAATTTTTTCCAAGATGGAACATCCGTAGTGGATGTTGTCGTTGTCTTAGTAGCATCAACGTAATTCATATGAGGTTGTTTAATATTATTCGCATCTTTTCTTGATCGACTATTATTACTTGCTACTGATGTCATTTCTCCAATGTCGCTTAAATTATTTTCCGATGTATAACGTCGACTATTATCATTCGTCATTTGTTCAAATCGATATCGAATATCGTGAAATTCTTTAAAATGACTAGCACCCATATCAACACGATGTTGAGAGAGTCTTCTTGAATTATTCTAAAGAAATAAAACTTGTTCAAATGAAATAAATAAACAGTTCGTATATAGTACACACTCTACTATTGTTTGCATTGTCCAAATCATTATTGTGTGTATGATATGATGATGATAAATTTTCTGGTGTTTTTACATGTAAGACGCTCACATCCTGATTAGATGAACTCTTCGTTTTACGTTGAAGTGATGATTTACGATATTCATTATCATGATGTTTTTTTGGATAAGAGGGCGGTGAATTGATATTGATTATTGTTGTTACGTTGCCGTTGACATTAGGGGATCGGTGATCTAAAAATGATGTTGATGGTTTTATAATTATATTCTAGAGTGAATAAAAACATTACCTTTGCTATTTTCATCATCTCCATCACTTAGATATTGATCTAAAATTGAATCAAAATAATTTAATGTTTTTTGTACTTGATCTTCATCATCATTTCCATTTCTACAAATAAATAAATATGTTCTATTCAAATCGAATAGTAATATTAGATATCAGAATGCTTACAATACTCCTCCATTAATATATGACATTTTTGGTCGTTGAATATTTTCTTTCCCTATGATACGTTGTTGAACAGTCGACTGTTGTTGTACACGTTTATTCACTGACGATGATTCCGGATGATTATCGTTGTATTTGTTGTGTTGCTGTTGATGGGCTAGATCATCATGCCGTTTTTTATCATATTGAACATGTGTGGATACGATTGTTTTATACATACTACCAATAGTTTCAACCTCATTAAGAAATTTTTTAATATACTGCAATTGTAAATGATGTACTTCCCTTAGACGATTGTATCTTCGACGTGTTAACCAACCGCGTAGTACTAGAAAAGAAATACAAAGATTAAAATTTGTTTTCTTTCAAAGTTCTTCTTCTACTTTAAAAAACAAAGAGTCAAATGATATATATGTTATAGAATACACAAAAACTTTATTGTAAAATATTTCTATGATATTTCTGTTCGACGAGTGACTACAAACTTCTGACTAGTTAACTATAAATGTGAATAGTTTTTGTCTAGGTAATATTTATTCTGATTAGATTGGAGAAATATATGATTGTGATCTGAACAAAAAAATGAGAGGTGTTGTGGGCACAAAGATAAATGCTGTACAATTCTGATTGAAAAAAAAAAGAGAAGAATCTGATGATGTTATAGAATATATCTGATTACATTTTAATTGCTTTGTGTTAAAAAAATAGAGTGTATCATAAAAAACGAGCAAAAACGAATATGTAGATTACCGTAAGGACAGAACAGCAAACACTGAATAAATACTATATCGTCGGTATGTCAAAACACTCTCATGTTTATTTTAAGCCGATTATTCAATTAATTATTGAATTAGTTAGGTTAAAATTAATAGGATATACTCAAATATATCCGTCCTATTTTGATTTGGTTTTTTAAGATATGCATATTTTTAGACTGACTTGAGTACAAAGATCGAAAAGAAAATACACTTTTAGTAAAAAACGTACTCATTTCACTCTAAGAGCTATACTCAAATGTTATTTTCTCACCACATTCATCTGAACTACGACAGACAATCTATGTGTGCGGTTTGGTCAATTTGAGTATACAAATAGCGAATATTAAGAGAATACTACGATATCTTAACTAGAATAATCAAACAAGGTCACAGAAACAATTGTCTAATCGCTTATAGTCATTCCCAAGACGACTTCACAAATTATACGAGAAAAATAGGCAGCAATAGTCTTACGCGATCAGCATAATGATTTATCATCGTTAATTACTTCTTGAAGACTTTTCTAAGACTTTCAGAACGTGAACGAATTTACTTAACTCTATTTTTCCTTATCAGATTCAAGGATAGATGATTTTGCTGTAATATAGCAACGTCTTCACAGAAAGCTTCGTGTCTCTCTCCGATGGATAAATACTTATCTTCTCACTACAAAAACTTGTTGAACATTATGACACACATTCACAATGTATTGGTCAGAAAACATAATAAACACTGAATCAACCCGCCCCCTAAGAGAGAGAGCGCGAGTACACACTGAATTTCGTAAAGAAACATTGAAGAAAAATCCTCTACAAATTTATAGAATTCTTCTAAATACCCGTATCGTTTTCCATTGATACTTTGTTTATTTTGTTAGACATCAAAATGTTGTTACTAATAATACCAATATAGTGAGAGATTAATCAGAATCCTCTATCTCTCTATTTTTTTTTAAATGTTAATTTTTATCCCTCACTAATTCTGCCAATGACATTTTCATTTTCACTTTTTCTTTTTATTCTCATTGTCTCGCTTCCAGTACACAATCCAAGGAGAAGATTTTCTTTTTTCATCCTTGTAAAGCGTAAAGATGCTTCTCTACGTTATAAACTACGTTAATGAACATTTCTTTTTTTCAGACTTCCTCTCTTATTTCTTACCTTGTAAAAGATGCACGATGTACACTCATTCACACTGTGACAGACAGTATATAAGGATGTTTATTTTAAAACTGACCTTGGTTTAAAAACGACAAAAGAAATTCGTTCTCAACATGTATACAGTTCAAATTATAACTATTTTGATATCTACTAATAATATATCTAGTAACAATACGTGTGGGACGACTATTTTATGATCCGCTTTGACATTCGCACATTCTCACTGGTTGTAAATTCATTTGCTCTTTATCTAAATGATTTTTCAGGCATATATATAGAGAGAAATACAAGTATATCTAATATTATTACTCCTATAAGTGAACAAAGTGAGATAGAGTACAACAGTCCACCATATGATAATAAAAATGAAAAATGAACGATGAGAAACAATAACAAAACTACCGCCATACTTTTCTTTTCTACATTGAATAAAGTTCGTAATCTTATCGCGATATCACCCAGGTTACAGAGTAACACGTGTCTTACTATTAATCAGCGATTTAACTGACTTCATGTACGCCATTAATTTTTAGGTAACTTAAACAACTGACGTGAGCTAGAGAAATTACACTTTTTTTAAATACTACTAATTGAAATCTTAGTAAATTCCAGCATTCTTGTCTTCTTCTTCAACTTACTCAATTCTGTTCCGCTTTATATATATTGAATGTTTTTCAGCTGTATCACTTCATTTTCCGAAAATATGTTTTGTAGTTTTCTTCAAAGAGAAACTGATTGATCTTTCTCTGCCTCTCTCTCGTGTGCTTTTTTTTCTTCTTACCTTTTTGACAAACATTTACTTTTCTTTCATATTGTTTGGATAAATGATGAAGTTGATCAGTATGCCAATATCGAAATAGTAACTTTGTACGCCCAATCTTTAAATAAAAAACCAGTATTTCTTAATAAAACAGTTTCAAGCATTATTATACAGCACCACGAATGATAACGAAGAAGATTCATATTACATGTTTAATCTTTTTTCTCTAATTAAAATGTATCACCTATGATATATTTTCTCTGCTCATTCTTCTTTCTAATAAACATTTTTTTGGAGAAAAACAAAATAAGATAAAGATAATTTATCAAGTGTGGTGTGTGTACAATGCCTGTCAAAAAATAGAGAGACTTTGCATATATTTCAGATTTTTTTCAATATTTATATATATATATATACATATATATATATCAAAGAGAAGAAAATGTCCGGTTAGTTAATGAACCATAAGGAGATAACATTAGAAGATTCTCTTGGTACTCTTATAATGTTTTTTGTCTCTAAAGATTTTCGATTTATTTTCATATACAAAAAATGAATTTTAACTATTTTTTCATTTTGATGATAACCAGTATGAAACTAAATTATGATGTTGAATCAAAGATTTTTTTCCGTCAGAAAAAACTCTAATCCTGTTACTTCATATCTACGAAAAATAGAACAGAAAAGCATTATTTCCAATATAGTTTATTTCTGTGACAAAGCTTCTCTCATACAACTATCAAAATGATATTCAAATATACCAGAATAAAAGGAAGTCTTGAGTATTCCCGACGTGTATTATGCAGCTATCACTTGTCAATGACAATGGTCACTTACTTTGAAGTTATCGATGTGTGCTTGTTTCAAACAATATAGAGCTCTATCACGATCATTTAAATCTGTTGTTGATCCGCCATTTTTTCGCATTTTATATGGAAGTAAGCAAATAACCAATGCATTGTATCTAAATCAAAACATATATATTTATATATAGACATCAAATTCTTCGATACACTGTTCAACGAAAGAAACAAAATAGTCACCTTGAATTTTATTCTTTAGTAGAATAAGAGTAATAACTACCGAGAACATACCTAAAAATTGATTTCTCTCTTGTTCAACGAAGGTTTTTTATTACGATGTGTGCTTTTTTAATAAAAAAAAGGCAGAAAAAGTATAGGCAATACGCAATGTCATAATCTTTATTTTATTCCGTTTCAGCTTCATATATCTCTCCTTCTATCGACGCGTTTTCTTTTTCTCGTCTCCTTATCGTAATAAATGATTCATTTGGAACGTTTTGAGACAGTTACACAACATGATAACATATTTTTTATCAAATTCAACCTGATCGAAGAAAAAACTGTTCAAAACTTGTTGATATACAAACATTAAAATAGTATCAATTCCATTAGTGCTCTCTACAATTAAAATTTATAGTTTTTAACGAATTAGAATATTTCAGTTTATTGCGTTCTTCTGTTAGTAATCCTGTGACCAATATTGATTTCAATTTGCATGAAAAAACATATTTATAAGCCCTAAAGTGGTATATATATATATATACTGTTTCATTTTTTTGCTTTTACACAAGCGTGTGATATATACATGAGAAAAACTAGTCAAAAAAAGATGTATTTCACAATTATTTTTTATAATATTTTCATACATATATATAGAGATCAGTTTCTTGACATATATCCATATACATACAGAAATACAGAATTTGTTGTCTGATCAGTTATAAAATAGAAACACCTGTTTCTCTTAGTTAACTAAACAAATACATAGAGAAAAAAAGCTTTATAAAGAATTATATTTTTATTTGTTTGTTTGTTTGTTAGTGTTTGACATTTTGATATTATAACTATTATCAAATATTTTTTGTGACCAAACACATGGAACAGAGACATAGAGAAGATGACCTTGGATTAGTGATGTTTTTCATCCTTTCAAACTCTCATTAAAGTTTTCATCAAAAAAACAATCAATTTTCAGATATTCAAAAAATCTATTATATTGAAAACATCAGTGCCAGTTTATACTACGAATTGTAGAAGTGTAGGCCGACCTTTTACCACGAAATAGATGTTAGTATACACTCTTTCACTCAATCTCTTATAGACGAATGAACATTAAGTGACTAGAAAGGTGGTGCTTATCAAAACTAATTAAAAGAAATCTTCTATAAATGTCTAATCATGCACTGAATCACTGTTTATTTTTCTAAGCAATTGTAAGACGTGATAGACGATATTCCTAACAAATGAAATTACCTTCAGGTTTCATATGGGCGAAAATGCATACACATCATTAATAGAAGGTTCAACGTAATGAAATTTCTTACGAGGTCATCGATATATTGAAGCAGAACGGAGATTTATTTAACCCTATGAGGACACGAGTTGAAAATAAAATTTTAGAACAGAGAATAATTGCTTTTAAAAACATTCTGATGCATTCTACGTTAAAAAACAGAATGTATGTCACTACCAGAGGTCAGCACGGGCCGAGCCAGAAAATTTTATAAAGTAGTCGG